CCAAGCAGTGACAGGAAGTAAGTAATTAATTTACATATCAATAGGGCCTACTGTGTGGAGCCACAAAGGAGCTAGGCAATAATTAGCCCTTCTAAGCAAATTAACTAGATAAACAATCAGTTTGTTTGTTAAGTGTAGGTTTCAGTTCTTTGATCCAAAGCATTTCTTTAATTAAGCAATCAAAATTGGATTTGCACTTAGATAAAACCTTGAAATAATTAACAGTTTCAGTAGCACTAATATAATGATCTTTTAAATGTTGTCCTATGTTACCTTTACTGTGCATAATCATTTCTTATTTAAAATAGAATTATTTAATAAATCAGTAACTTGTGTTTTTTTTAATGAAATTAATGATTTTCTTTAAAAAATATGCTACCCAAGGCGAGACTTTTTTTTTTATACCTTGTTTGACAAACTCGCTGACTATTGTACATTTTACTGTACTGTTTTTCCGTTTTAAAATGTTTGTGCTCGTTAGCAATTTAGATTTATTGTTGATGTTATCCATGACAGTAATACGTACCGCGAAATGCCAGGCCTCTGAAAGTCCACATCGTTGGTATTCGCCACGTTATTGGAAATTTTTATTTCAAATTTGTCGAAAATGGTTTATAACATTCCCTGCAAGTTCGTCGTTCAAAACTGGTGCCGAATCAATGTTTTAGAGCCTCCCATCAGAGCCATTAATAATAATAATAATAATATTAATAATTGGCCGCAAATATAGTAATAATATCTAATAATATTAATATTTGTAAAAAATACTTAGACCTACTCCCAGAGCTACTCATAGGAGATAAAAACTAATTTATTTTAGTTCTCAAATATGCATATTCTTTATGTTGATTTATTAATTAAATTTTTGCTACAAGGTATTTTACAACATTTATTTATTTATTTATTTTTTCTTGAATTTTATAATTGAGGGCCATTTTTATTTCTTGATTCAATTCTTGCTTATACAGTATTTAAATATTTGAAGACTAAAAAAAATATATCATTTCTATTACCGAATTTTTCATTGGGGCCATTTTTACCTACCTGTCATATGGGGCCATTTTTACCGGGGCCATTTTTACCGGGGCCATTTTTTCCGGTGCCATTTTTTCTGGGGCCATTTTTTCCGGGGCCATTCTTACCTACATTCGCAAAAAGCACTGGAGCCGAGGGGTATTAGCTGGGGCTCATTCATAAATAGATCCAAAAATAATAATTTTAAATAATTTCTGTGAAAATAAATAATGTTTTTTGAAGAATAAAACGGCCAGCAGGCCCCTCAATAATATTCGGTTTTTCGAGGAGTATTGAGTACAGCTGTGTAGATTTCAAATCAGTGATGTATTCAAGGGCGCCCAGCTGTGCGTCCCGCCAAACCCTCTATTCTTTTTTTTTTTTATTTGATTATGTTTGGTGCGATCATAGCATTTTATGTTACTATCTGAGCACTGTTACTGCTATTAATCTATTTTTTACATTGTGTTTACGGTGCTACGCAACAAATCTAATTTGAATATTATATATAATATAAAGAATAATGCCTGCATTGATTATTATATGTATTGTACTTTATATATGTTTTTTCCCATTGATATTTAAAACTATTGTAATGTTTCGACATCCGTTGTTGTTTTAAATATACTTAGAATGTATTGTGCTGACTATCTGCAAGTTTGTGATTGTGACGCTGATCAGTGATGCTGTCGTCAGGGACTGTCATGTGCCACATCGCCTGGATGTATTCGTGGAACAGCTATGCAAGGAAGTTGCGCAAATTGCCCTTTCCCATACACCGGCAACTGCTGTGAACAGTTCATTGAAGGTAATTTATGTCTACTTTGATGATCATCATCATTACCTTATTCAATATTAAGAGGGTTATTAAAGTTTACAACTCTAGTTAAAATTAAGTTCAACAAATGTAAATATTGCTGCTGAGTATCAAATAGTCCTTTTACAACAAGCCAGCAGTGGCGCCAGAAATTTGCCGACGAGGTGTCTGACGTGTCCGACGGAGGGTTCCGAACCAATCGGTCGACGAAGCCTAGGTCGATGGCCTGGGAAACAAAATCCTGGTAGGGTTTACGGGGAGAGTTTTTATGGCTTCTTATGGTCCAAAATGTGCTTAAATAGACCACAATATTAGGGATTGGCAATGAAAATAAGGTTATTTGAATAGGAAAATTGTTATTTTTTAGAATTTTTGAACCGACGACTTAGTTCGTCTGAAGACAGGGGCAGGGGGGGGGGGGTTATCCATGATATTTTCTGGGTGGGCCGTGATCATAATTTTTGGACCTTTCAGAGGGAGACTGGAAAATCAATTGCAGCGCCACCAGCTTCAAGCGGATGGCAGGCTCAGTTTTATAATTGCTGGACTGAGATAGATTACTGGGGCGTATGCAGGATTTGGCTGTAGTGGGTGCGCGCAAAAATTTAAGAAAATAGTACCTGTGATGGCCGGAAATGACACTTTTATACAGTGAAATTCACCATTATCACACCATCATTATTTAGTCTAGATGAAGCTCCAGCAAATTTCTCATGACCCTTAATCAGGGATTTTCGGCAACAACAGAGATATAATTCATACGAGTGATGTACCAAAAAGTTTCTCTAAATGTGTCAATATTTAAAGTTTAGTGATTTTTTCTTATTTTGAGACTTCTGTATTTGTTGAATAGAAATAAGTGTCCTCTTAATGGGGGTTATTTCCCCATTTGGCACACTCAGAAGGTGTACCCGTCCCCTTAATAGGGGTTGTTAAAAGATATATCGCCCCTCGATTCACGGAAAAGTGTCCCTTTAATAGAGGTGTCCCCTGAATAGGGGTGTCCCAAAAAAGGGGTTCTACTGTAATATTAAAATTCAAAGATGAATGTGATTGGTCAAGTATAGATTTGTCCGACAAATCGTGCTTCTGAAATTTATTCAAAAACTCCACCCAAGACTAACTTGTTTGCCTATAGTACCTCCAATTAATTTTTTTATTGTGTTTGTTGTACGTTTTGTGTTGCACTTTTGTTGGTAATTGTTTGAAAATATAATTGTGGTGCTCGTGATTTCGTCATTAATGCTGCAGTACATGCTGCCTGAGTTTTTCCCTGAACATTGGCGTGCGCTTTACAACCGAAAGGAAAAGGCGCCAGTACCAGTATGACAAATGTGACCCAAGATCACAAAAGGGCTGTAAACTCGTACTCTATCTAAATGTTTTTTTTTATATGTAAATTAATAGATCACATCATTAACTTTATAATGAGGGCTCAATGACCTTAATCGGACAATTATGTGTAAAGTTAAGCTATTTTGAATTATAATTATTCTCTATAAACTGGCCTATAAAGTTCTGAGCAAGAGGGCTTTAAAAGTACTGAAGAGAAAGAAAAATCACAGCCGTAGTCAAACAAACTCCTTAGCAACAACACAGTATCCATTGAGCTATTGCGATGAAATTTTCTACGGTTTGCTGGAAATAGGTTGGGGAACAGAAATCTTCTATTTTTAGTCGAAACCCCAGAGAGTTAACTAGTAATACCCGAAGGGAAATTGTTTATACCTTTATAAAGCTGAAACATCCACGTCTGATTATGGCATCCCTAGTGTTCTGATGAATTTAGTAGACATAAGAAGTGTTTTATTCGTCAAGCCTGGTTAGAGAGGGTGTTTTGTTAGGATTTGGATGAAAAAGGGACGGGGTGGGGTTATTGGGAGTGTCAGGTTTTTTTTTAAATAAATTTATAAACATTTTAAAAATACAACATTTTCGGAATTATGCAAGTAAGTAAAATGATCAGGATTGTTGCAAGCTACATTATAGCATGGGGAGGTGGTAAACAAACTGTTTAAGCAAGAAAATAATTCCTCCATTCAAAACTACCGATTCCATCATTAAAATACTGGTAGATCACATTAATTACTCTCTATCTTCTTTAAAATCAAAACAATTAGAGTTATTTATGCGTCCGCAATACTTAATTGAATGCTAGGCTTTTCCTTTCTTTGTGACCAGTGATCCAAGTCAAATTTTGCCAAGGACTGATGGGAAATTATGCTAAATTATACCAAAT